CTTAGGGACATGGTTTAGTGGACATGGTGGTGTTGGGTTGACAGTTGGACTCGATGATCTTAGAGGTCTTTTCCAACCTCAATGATTCTATGATTCTATTTGTACACACCTGAAAGAAAACAGAAAGTAATAACCAACACTGACATGTCAAGACCAACGTCTAAAATGGAACTAATTTCCCTCTGAGAAGAACCAGATGCACTACTGCTTGAGAGCACATGTCCTCTCTTGACCCCTGGGGCTTTGAGCATCCTGACCTAGTGAAAGATGTCCCTGCCCATGGCCGGAGTGGCGGGACTAGGCGATCTTTAAAGGTCCCTTCCAACCCAAATCATTCTATGATTCTACATCTCCAATAAAACTTAGTTCTCACAATATTTCTCATAAGGAAAGTAAGGGAACATATTCTTGGAACTGACACAGTTGGAAAAATCATAATTGCAGAGTAGTTGTTATAAAACCAAAATAATTTCAGTGAAGTTCTGCAAAGCTTTATCTAGAACTTACTGGGTAATTGACTATCGAATATTTCATTTTTCAGACAACAAAAAGCTAGAAGAGATGGGAATACATGCAAAGAGGAGATTAGAATTCAAAGCTGTCTTGACAGATTGGAAAAACTACCTGGAAGAGATAGAACGCAGTTAAACAGGCAAAAGTGCAACATAGTATGTTTATACAGAAATAATCAACTATGCAAATACAGAACTGGAAAAGTGTTAGATGGCAGCCCAGAAGAGAAGGACTCAGTTACTGCATAACAATGATATACATGTGCAAAAAAAGGCATATATCTGGTCAGCGTGGACAGGCATACTGCTAGCAAGTCATGAATGTATTCCTTTTTCCAAGTCCAGCGCTAGCAAGATCTCAGTTGGCTTGCAATACCGTTGTGAATACCAAATTTCAACACACAGGCCTATTGGGAAAACAAAGACCACACACAAGGGCAACAAAACAATTACAGGTCTAGAAAGCAGGGCAGGCTTGTCTACTAGGTACACCAAAAGAAACAGTTGTTCAGAGAAGGCTGAGCATGGACCTATATGGTTTCAAGTATGTAAGAAACAGCTGCAAAGAGGAAAGGGACAATTATTCTCCAGGTCCACCATGATTAAGTAATGAGGGACTTCAACTGTAGCAAATAAATAAGGGGGGAGGACAGACATTGAGTAAATGCTTCTAACGACTAGGGTGGAAAGAAACACTTAAGGAGGCTGGAATTGCTACCACTGCAGGTCTCTAAGATCTGGTTAGATCAGACATAAGTGATAAGTGTAATTCATCCTGTGCAGGCAAGGAATCAACTGGACGACCTCTTAAGGTCCTTTCCTATTCTGTTTTTTCACAATTACAGAATCATGGTACACACAAATATGCAGGGAAGGAAGGCTGGTAAGTTAGCTTACATCACCACAGTCCCACTTAAAATGTTCTTGTCTGTAGCCTACATTATCCCAGGCCCATTACAAACTGATTTTGCCAAATAACAAATAGAATTCAAAGTTGCAGGCTCTTTTTAAGGAAAACTAGAAGTTATGCAATAGTAAAATCATTCAAAGCAACATTCACTTTGTTATGGAAATGCCACTACACCAATACTCATGAGCTGACATTTAAAACACTCCAATTTTAAATGCTGGATTCTTAAGATTTCCTCCCTGAAGCTTTCACTACGGGACGGACATCAATTTGGTTTGATCCTATGTAAACACACATTTTATTTTTGTTACAAATATAAGCCCATTCAGCAACTTTTTCCCGTCACTTTAAATAATGACAAAGAATTAGTCTTTCATAAAAATTGTAACAGTGTTAGTTCAACATTCAAAATTCAGCCCTGTTATTTAGTAACATAGAAGTCAGAAAAATCAAGTTACCTTGATCATTACTTAAACTTGTCTTTAAAGCAAAATTAATAAGTCTTTCTATGTCACGGTGCCACAATCAGTTTAATGGCTGTGAACCTATCCTGCTGCTGCTGAAATGGCTAGTACCACCCTCCACCCATAACAAAGGTGTGGATTCTTGCCCCTTCCCTTGTGCTGACACAACTACTCATGCAACTGCATGGGTAAACCAGACCTGCAAATTGATCCAGCTGTAAACTAATGCAGAATAAAAAGGGGGACTGTTGTCAGTTAGATCTACCCCTGACCTTTAAAAAAAAAAACTATAAAACTATAAAAATAGTTGAAACAATGCAGGCTAGGTGCTTGCAGGAGAAGGTGGAACGATTCCACTCAGTGCCAGC